CTCAGCGTCGCGACTCTGGCCTCTGAAACGCTGCCGCTGCTGGCCCTGACCTTCATCACCGACAACAGTCTGGTGGCAGCGGTGAGACAGGGAGGGGCAGGGAGGGGAGCGGTGCTAGTTAGATCGGCTCTCCACTGGTCTCCCCCAACTTCTCTTCCTCCTTGGTCAGAACGGGCTGGCTTATGCTGCTATAACAAGGCCCCAGTGCAGGTATTGGGGGGGGGGGCTGTGTCTCCAACATGCGCCCCAGCTGCCATGCAGGGAGAAGGGGGAGGCAGAAAATCGTGTCCTGGACCCTGAGGTTTCTGCTTACGTCTTACCGGCCAGTGGGTGTGTGGGGGCAGCACAGCTCTCCCATGCATCCGGAAGGGCGCCGCTCTCCTGCCCACCGATCTGTCTCCCCTCTTCCCCCACATCCCCCTTTAGCAAACACCCGCGGGTCCTGGACAGTGAGGGCGGGCTCAGGCCTGCTTTGCCTACAGAAGCGTCCGGCTGTGGGGTACTCTCCGGTTGGGCAAGGCACAAGGTCCCCGAGCTTCCAGGGCCACCCCTAGATGCTCCCACCACCCCCCCAGCACCCAGTCCCTGTCCATATACCCAGGGTGGGCCCGGCTGTGTCTCCGGGCTGGTGTGGGCTTCCCCAGGGCTCCACCCAAGTCCCGGCACCAGATTCCCTTGGTGTCGTGCCTTGTCTCCAGCCTCTTGTTTCCCTGTGCATAAGATGGGGGCGCTGTGCCCGCCCTCGGCCACGCTCCTGTGACCTCCCCGCCCTGCTGCCCTGTCGTAGGGTCACGACTGTTTCCCGGTGCTGTTTACCTATGATGGCACCACAGGGACGCTGAGCTTCGGTGGGCGGCTGGACGTGCCCAAGCAGAGCTCGCAGCGCGGCCTGACGGCCCGAGAGCGCTTCCAGAACCTGGACAAGAAGGCGAGCTCGGAGGGCAGTGTGGCCTCGGGCGCTGGCCTGGACTCGCTGCATAAGAACAGTGTGAGGTGAGGGCGGGACCGACCTTGACTCCCCTCCCAGCAGTGTCAAAAGTGGGGGACCCTGACTTAGGAAGCGGGCCACCTCTAGGTGGCACAACAGCATCAGGTGAGGGCAGCGCAGGCGCTGTGGGGACCGTCACGGTTCTCTGGGATGACCAGAGAGCCACCAGCCCCGTGGCCAGGGCCGTGGCCGAAACGGTCCTGCCGCCGCCTCCCTGAGCAGCAAGGCAGGATGAGGCGTGAGGAACTGTCCACGACGCCCAGGCCTGCCAGCCCCAGGTGTCCACCCCGCAGCCAAGCGGGGAGAAGTATGGTGGGACTTCCTGACCCACCCCCCGCCGCGGCCATCGGGTCCAGTGTCGTTTTCAGACCCAACGCCTGAGCTCGGCTTTCAGGGCTCGTCGGCACGACCCCCCGGGTCCTCCCAGCCCCCGGTTTCGCTTTCCCCCCATCCTACTACACTCCCCTCACTCTGGACATTGCCCACACACGTGGGATTCGTGCCCGGCCTCTGCACATCCGCTTCCATTTGCCTGGGCTTCCCTACTGCTCCTCCAAGCAGACTCGCGAGCCCCTCCTCTGCAGCCCCTCCCGGCCCACTCCCCTGGCTCTCTGCCAGGCGTATTCCACCTGCACAGCCCAGCACTTCTCACCGGAGTCGGGGGGGAGCTCCTGGAGGGTGGGCAGGCCTGAGTCCAGCAAAGGGCCACAGTTGGGACCCATCAAGCCCTCCTCTTTGCAGCCAGATCTCGGTGCTCAGCGGGGGGAAGGCCAAGTGTTCCCAGTTCTGCACCACAGGAATGGATGGTGGCATGAGCATCTGGGACGTGAAGGTGAGTCCTAGCCCAACTTGGCCCTTCCTCCCCCGGGCCCTCCTCGATGGATAGCCCCCTTTATTCCTCTAGGAGGAAGGTACTTATTTGGGATGAAGGCAGGGGGAGATGAGGGGCACCCCTGGGGCACCTCCCTTTAGGGCTGGGATTCAAACCCAGTCTGCCCAACTCCAAAGACTAGGTTCTCTGTCCTCTGCCAGGGGCTGGGCTGGCTAGGGGTCAGGTCCCTGGGGGTGAGGTGTGTGGGGGACAACCGAGAACCAGCCTGTTCTGCTGTCTCCTTCCAGAGCTTGGAATCAGCCTTGAAGGACCTCAAGATCAAATGACCCATGAGGCATAGGTGGCCCTCATCCCAGCTGCTGGGGGAGGGGGTCAGGGAGGCTAAGGATTGCTTTGCTGAATGTTTGTAGGGTAGCAGTCTGGGTCCCCCGGGGACTGCTCCAGCCGGGGGGGTGGGGGGATGGGAGGGGAAGCTTTTCTGACCTATTGAAGGAACAGGTGCCTTATTCTTATAAAGAGCTGCTTTCATTTGTTAAAAACAAAAATGTTCTCAAAGCACTGTGCTGGTCATGAGCTGCAACAACGTGGGTGTAATAAAAAAGCAATCTTAGAACTGGTCTCCTGTGTTTGGGAGGAGCATGTGTTCGCACGGGCACAGGTTCCTTACTTCTGCTCTACCAGAAAAATTGATCCTAAAGCCCAAGGGCCTTCTCCTCCCTGCTCCCCTTTCCCTCACAGTCCAGCCAGGGCGAGGCTGGACCTTGGTGGCTTCCCTGTCACTCGGTAGTCGGATTCCCAGACCAGTGTTTGCATGTTCCAGGCTGCTGCTGGGCTTTAATGGAAACTCATTTCTCGACTTGATGTTTGTAGCTGGTTTCTGATTGATGCGCATCATTTCCTAAGACCATTTCCCCCCCATTCCTATTTCATGCAGATGGCCTTCCCTACGTAACACATGCTTCTGTTACCTAATTATTGAGTCACAGCCAGGTAATGAGTTACACCCACAGATCCTAATCATGAACTGGCCTTACATTTGCAAGATGAAGGATACCTAAACATGCCTTATCCCAGATTGTTCTAGGGCCTATCCGTCAGGATATACCCCAGTTGGAAAAGGCCCGCTGACTTTTAAATCACGATGAAATAGAAATTCTAAGATCCCAGGAGACAGGCCTCACAACTCGTCTCTCATTCTAATTGCTTGCCAAGGCCCTCCCAGCCTGTACCAGCCCGCTGTAAGGTGAGCTTCTGGTCCCAGAGCTCTGACGGGACTGTTAGGCCCTGGAAGGCCAGGGAGGTGTCCACATACCTTTTTTTTTTTTTTATAGCTCACCTCAGGGCTGAAAAGTGGCCCCAGAGTATCAGTGTTCTTCTGAGACCCTGACGAGCAGGTTCCCCTCACTCTGAGAAGGATGAGCAGCAAGCATGCTCTTGTTTGGCTGCAGGGGCCTCGTAGATGTCACCTGTCTGCCCTCGTTAGAGACACAGTACTTGACTTAAAACCGACAGGCTCAATGTTCTGCTTCTAAGAAGGAAAAGGCATTAGAGGACTAGGTCGGATAGGGTCGGGCTTCGGCGGGTGGGAAGTACCATCAGGGTAGGAGGGGATTGGACCCTGTACTGTGGTGGACACTAGGGCCACTGGCCAGGCTTTCCACGCCCTGCCCCACTGGATGTTGAGGACAGTGGAGCGGACAAGCGGCTCATAGTCCGGTGGGGGCAGCTGATGATGGCACCCCAGTGTTGGGGAGGGGGCTGGTGGGGCAAGAAGAGGGGGGACTGGGACCGAGGGAAGATTCCACGCAAGTCGTAACATGCAAGAAGGGCTGTGAGCAAGGGTTTGACCTTTCCAGGAGCCAGAGGACTGATGTGCAAGACAGGGATGAGGTGGGTGGTGAGACTGGGAAGAGCCCCAGAGACCAGCTTCTGGAGGTCCTTGGCATTGTGGGGAATCAGGCCACTAAACTGGGAAGACACATGAGGCTGCTGGTGCAGTTGGGTGGGCGTGAGGGGACCTGGGAGTAACACAAGCCCTGGGGACCAGCGGGGTGCGGGACAGGGAGGAGCTGGGGTGACCTGGGTGAGTGGAGAACACAACTGGGGGTACCCTAACACACAAGAGTCATTATGTCCCCACTGTGGGAAGGTTTGGGGGCACCTGGGTGGCTCAGTTGGTTAAGCGTCCTCGATTTTCAGCTCAGGTCATGATCTCAGGTCATGAGATCGCACTCTGTGTTGGGCTGAGTGTGGAGCCTGCTTGCGATTCTCTTTCCCCCCTCCCTCTACCCCCCCCATGTGCTCGCACTCTCTCAAATCTTAAAAAAGGGGTGGGCGGCCTTGTCACCCCCTTTTAAGAGAAAACAATGCCAGAGAAAGAAGTTACCTCCTCAGAGTCTCACGGGCAGGAGGTAGCAGAGCCAGGATCCGAACTCGGGTCTGACTTCCAAGCCCCACTGGAGGGGCACCTGCTGAAACGTACTTGATATGGGTCCGGATCGCTAGCTGAGCCCGGAAGGAAACGCTTCGAGCCAGAAGTCTTGCCAGCACGTCACCCAGGTATACAGATGAGATCCGTACGACCCCTTGGAGGCCCGCAAGACACCAGGGACATCCTGGCTTCTAGTCTCACACCAAGGTCCGACCAGACAAGGACAAGTCCCGGGCACACAGGGAGCCCTGCTGGCCCAGCCGTTCCTGCAAACCCCCAGCTGGCGGCACGTTAGAGGCCACCTCCTCACCAGCCCGTGTGGCTCGAGTTTGGCCGGCTGGCAGCCCCCAGAGCCAAAGACAGGGTACTCTGTCCGTGAACCTTCCAGACAGCCACCACCTCCTTGTTCGTCTTCTCAGAGAACCTCATTTTCACGGCACAGACCTCAACCAGCTCTGCACGACCTCCAAGGGGTGGGGGGCTCTGGCCAACCTCTGAGGTTCAGTCCCGTTCCTCAGGTCCAGGGTGAGGGATTTTCCACAGGCCAGGGGGAGCTGCAGATGCCGGCAGCTGTGGTAACCCTTCTGGGGCTCCTGGGGCTGTTGACCTCCAGCATGGTCAGGCCCAGGGGGCGTGGCAGGAGTCCCTGGAAGTCAGGGGCCCAACTCCATCTCTGCCACTAAATCCTTCTTTCTGACCTCAGGCCAAACCCCTGCTTGGCACTGGTTACTGACCTCTCAGGACGGTATGCAAAGGATGCTGGTGTTCACAAGGCGGAGTGCCCCTGACGAAGGGGTGCGGGAGCAGGGACAGGCACAGTGGCCGAGTCTGCAGGCGGCTCACGTGATGGGCTAAGCCTCAGTTTCCCTGCTGCCATCCCCACCAGGGTGGTAAGGATGGCATGAGGTCATGCCCGGCAGTCATGCCAGGTATTGGGATGTTCCTCCCAGCACTGAAATCCTGACACTGAACACCAGGGGCACCTGGAGGGCAGGACAGGGAAGCACGGTGCTGCTGCTATGGATCGTGGACCGGTCCCTGGCCACTCTGGCTTAGGGTCTGCCACACTTGGGTTAAAGGAGGGGAGGGACGAACTCTGTATCCCGAGGTTTCTCCTAGCTCAGATGCCCAGGGACCAGTCCCCACACCCGGCTGGGTGCTGCCTGAACCTCGTGGGGCGGACCTGCCTGAGAGCAACACCATGCCCTGCTGGGGAAAAGGGCCCAGGCACAAGGGCCCAAAAATGGATCACAGAACAAAGATTACGATAATGTCAAGTTTAATCTGCCAAATATACAAGTTGGACTTGTGGAGTATGTTTTGCCTGGGTGCTGCACAGTAAACAGAGGTTTCTTGAAATGATCAACAGGGAGGGTTAAGAATGGGCCCTAGCGCTGGCCAGAAGGGTGGGGATGGGGCAGGAAAGGGCAGAGGGGACTGGCTGGGGACGAGCTGTGACCCTCAGGGACCCACGGGCACGGGCTCCCAGACGACAGCCCCTCTGAGTGAGCACCCAGGCAACACAGATGGGGGCCGGTTGTTGCAAACTTGTCAGCAGCTGCCCCCCCCCACACACAGTCAGCCCCTACCGGGCAACCTACGGGACAAATGGAAGCTCTTCTTACCCCACCTCCCAGGCACCCCCAACAAGAGTTCTGAATTCTAAAAACAGCAAAAACATTCGAATGGTTACATATGAAATGCTGTCCCCCATCTTTCTGTCTCAAAGATAGCAGCCGCCCCCTCCCCCCAGCCCTCCCCACCATCCCCCCAAACAATTTCTGTGCCAAGATGAAAAGGAGGCCCCAGGCTGCGGGGGCTCCTTGCCGTGAGGGGCTGCTGCGGCGGCGGTGCCAGGACGGGACAGGTGAGACTCGGCAGAGGGCCTGGCGGCGCGGCCGGACCCCTGGTGCCTCCTCCCGCAGGCCGTGCTACTTATTCAGGGACAGCGACTGCATCCGTTTTCCCGACAAAGTCGCATCATCCTTTGCTGAGGGCGGGAAGGGAAGGGCAGGTGTTAACGTGACACCACCCCTCCGACACACATGCGCCCGCACACCCCGGGAGTACGGCACTGAGGGCTCAAAGACCACAGAAAACATTCGGGGCAACGGGCTCAGCCGGCAGAGGAACAGGCCCGGGGGAAAGAGGGTTCCTGTGGAAGCCACTGCGCCCTGGTGTCCAGTTTGGGGGACTGCCCCCTGACACAGGCCCACCACACAATCTACTGAGCAAAGAGGAACCTCTAACCACCCCCAGGCAAAACCCCGCAATTACACCCTCTCCCCGTGGGCGCTGCAGCCTCCAATCAGCAACAGTCCAAGGCCTTTCCTGCTTGGGGTCTGTGAGCAAAGAGCTACCAGTGGGGAGCTGGGACAGCAGGCTACCTCCAGTGTAGTGCAACAACCCTGGGGCAGCTGATCTCCCCCTTCTAGGCCTCGGTTTCCTCATGATTTGGTGAGGAGGCAGGACAGCAGATCCCTAAGGGCTCTTGTGGCCCCACATGTACAGAGGGGTGTGTGAGACCAGGAGGCGTAGTCATGAGTCAAATGTTCCTATAAACCAGACCAACTCCCCACAGTTGCTGCCACCAACCTCTAACCCTACTGGACGGGGAGCAAGGGAGAAGAGGGAGAGCTGGGCCAGATTTCATCTGGGGTGCGCTGTGAGGTCCAGCCCACCCCTGCCCTACCCTCTCAAGCCCCTCAGATGGACAGCGGTTACCCGAGGCAGCTCTCCCCACTACACAAGGCACCAGATACCTTAGCAAGACCGTCCAACCTTGAAGGTCTGCCCTAGCTGCGTCCCTGAGGCTTCCATCAGCTGCTGTGCACGGTGCTCTGCTTAGATTCAAACCATTGTCTGACTCCGGGCTGCTGCTGGACCCTCCCAGCACCCTAGGACATGGTGGGCAGGAATGCCCACCTCCACGTGACAAGAAAGGCCCATGCATGTACCCACAGGCTGGGTCTCTAGCCAACAACCCAACCCCATCCCATCACACAACGAGGACACTGAAGCGCAGGGTTTGGTGGCTTGCCCAGAACCAGAGTCAGGCAGCCACACGAGCTCACAACTCACCTTTCCTCTCTTCTTCTTTCTTCCTGGCAGCCTCTTCCCGCTGTTTCCGGATGATCGCCAGCCGGGCAAGGTCAGCTTTGGCTTGCTCTGTCTTCCCA